GGGGGGGGAGAGTATGACGGTGGCTGCTGTGCAGCACAATTTAACCTGCATGGGGGTAAAGCCCTTTGTCCCAGTCATCGGACTAATTGCACCTCTGAGCCTATCTGCTTTCTTCAAGGACACTTTGCTCTGGTCTTGGGCCTCATGCCATGGGTCTTTCTTGGGAGGGACTCATGTGATTCTCCCACTCACAGTCCAGGCCCTGGCTGCAGTGCCCTGTGATCAGCCATAATTACCTCAGCAGGCTAACTTATTTTCAGGGCCTGCAGTTAGTCCCCTGCGTGACCAATGACTCTGAGCCTATCTGCTTTCTTCAAGGACACTTTGCTCTGGTCTTGGGCCTCATGCCATGGGTCTTTCTTGGGAGGGACTCATGTGATTCTCCCACTCACAGTCCAGGCCCTGGCTGCAGTGCCCTGTGATCAGCCATAATTACCTCAGCAGGCTAACTTATTTTCAGGGCCTGCAGTTAGTCCCCTGCGTGACCAATGACAATGGCATCCCCTATCCAGTAACAGGAAAGCCTTCCTAAAGCAGAGAATTATTTATTGAGAACCAAAGCTTTTTAGACTAACCAAATATTAAAACAATAAACAGACTATATGCATGTCTAATGTACAAGGTATCTAACACCTTCCACAAGAGGTCCTTGGCAGGTAAGTAGGAGCTTCCTATAAACATCCTGAAAGCTCTAGGGCAGGCATGTCCAAAGTCTGGCCCGCGGGCCAATTGCGGCCCGTGTTTGGTTTAATACGGCCCCCCAGGTAATTTGGCAATATCTATCTTTTATGGCCTCCAACGAATCCATATGTATTGAGATGAATACATTGTAAAATCTCAGTTAATGTTTGCCTTAGCTCAGGAACCATTTCTCTTCTTGCTTCAGAGAAAGTCACCTTTAAAGACTGCTTAGTGAACACTCCATTTATAGACCATTTGACTACATGTCTCCTAGCCTGGCAGAGTAAGACTTGCAAAGAGACAGGATAGAAGCTTTGTTCTTGTGGGACCATTAAGTTTCTTTCCTGGTTGTTTTTTCCAACAGTCTTCATTGAATTTGAGCATCATACAGTTACAATAAACTTTCCACTACCCCAGTGTAAGTTACACAGTCTATCTCAATAATCTCAGAAATACAGGGTACATAAAATTATTACATACCAGTCGTCTTATTACATAGCAGCTAGTTGTCTTTGAAAGTCTGGACCACAGAAGTTAATGACAAAGCTCCCTTGGATTTTAATGCCCTTCAAACTGACCACGCAAACAAACAGATAAATAAAGCACACAAGTGAATGACTCAACATGTCCCACCGATGATTAACTCTCCTCCCCTCACTGCTCTTCCATCTATAGCCCCTTCCCCTTTTAGGAAGCAGCCTGGCCCCTCCTTCCTGCTGCTGGAATCTGTGGGTGCTCAGAGAAGAGATAGTAAACATAGTATTTCAGAGGAAGGGAAGAAGTAAGTGTAAGAGCACAGGAGATCTGCTTATGGTGAAATTCCTAACAGTCGGCTTTATGTTTCAATCATAAATAGTTTGCAGTATACAGAGAATTTCAAGTTTGCCTACAGGCCAGCAGGAAGCAAAACAATATTCTCTCCCTCGATATAAAGTCTGCAAGATCGAAAACCCTGAGAAAATGCTATGACACTTACCTCTCTGCCTGCCCCTCGCTAGTGTGCCTGAGAAATCATAGGGCGTTCTGAGTAGACGAAAGCACAGATTTCTGTATGGAAATAAAGAGGAGTTTCTCAGAAGTGTATTTAAAGCCATGTCATATAAAAGCTAAATATACTTGCAAAGGCCCTTAATGTGTGTTTACCAAGTGTGGTGTAACCCAGTGTAATCTGTTATGAAGGGACGTGGGAGGAGTGAAACAAAAAGTATGTTTTTTTCATTGAGTCAGCTCCTTTGCTGGCTACACCCTCTTGTTGTAGCGATAAGGAGGTAAAAGGTTGGACCAACTTGTTGGCGATAAGTGAGGTAAAAGGTTGGACCAACTTGTTGGTGATAGAGATGAATTTTGAGTTACACAGAAGTCTTCTCCAGCTCTGGGAAAGGTACTCAGACCATCACAGCTAAATACAAGGTAGAACAGATAGTTTAGTGGTCTAGCATCATGATCTTAATAAAGACACTGGAATGGATTTATGGCTTATTACAACAATCGGTAGCTCATTAACTTTGTTTTGTGTTATGACTGCAGAGGTATTAACAGGCCACTTCACCTAGAATAATCCCTTAGAATATATACTAACTATATATGGTAACCTATTAGTTTGATCTTGTGTTTAGCTGTGCCATTCTCAATCTACACTACAAAATTATGTTGACCTAATTTCAGAGGTGTAGCTGTGGTACTCTGTTTCAGCAAAAATAACAAGGAGTCTGGTGGCACCTTAAAAATTAACAATTTTATTAAAGCATAGGTTTTCATGAGTTGCAACTTCATCAGATGCATGAAGTAAAAGAAAAAGAACCTGATATTGATTTGGGAGTGTTATGTAAGAGCTAATTCACCTCTGAACTCTTTGGTGAGAGAGCTATGTCTGTAGTAATTCACTCTGATTAAATTAGCTGTGATATAACACTCCCATCTCTGTATCCCAACCATCTGTTTCTTTTTCTTTCACCTGGAAATATTTGTGCCTTTGAAGAAGAAAACCTCAAACAAAATTTTTCAGCCAGCTATGCTAACAACTCTGTCCTGAGCATGGCCTTTACTGTATGCATTGTGAAAAGACTCAAAAGGCTGAGCATTTTGTATTTAGGGTTTTAACTGAGAGACAAGAGTGAGCTGCCAGGAATTTTGGTGACCTCAGGAGAGTGAATTTTTGATGTCACCAGACCCAGTCTTTATTCCCATTCATTTTATGGACTACAGATGAGTCTCTCTCTCTCTCTCTTTCTTTCTCTCTCTTTCTTCACAGTGGTTGTATCATCACAAGAACAATTTGGATTAGGTTCGAACTGTTTGGAATTAGTTTCTAATGCCCCCTTCATAAACATAATGGTATGACTCACAGGTCCATAATTCTTGGAGGATCTCATAGGTTCTTTTTTGTGGACAGGCCCCTTGTGAGTAACTAAGGAACAGCTGTCATTGAAAGAACTAAATCAGTGTCTTTGTCATATCTTAGAAGGATCTTGCAGAGGACTAAAAGAACGTGGTTTTCTTCCTGGCTCTCTTAATACCTTGTGCAGGGCCTTGAGGAAGTCACATAACCTCTGTGTGTTTGTCGGTTTCCAGCTATAAATTGGAGATGATAATAGATCTCTTGCTCTCATGAAGATCTTATAAACTGTCCTTCTCAGAACATGACAGCTAACATGTTTGCAACATACTGAACTGGAGAAGCAGTCTTTTATAATTACAGTCCTGCAAGCATGGGGCTAATTCTACAGATGTTGGTCATGTTTAGTTAGCAATGGACTGTAAAATCTATTCTTCTTTCCCTCTGCCACAGGGAGAAATAGAACTCTTTAAAATCTCTGGCTTCTGTCATGGGGATTATCCTACCATGGCATCACTATGAATGAAGAGTCTGGGCTTAATGCATTTCTCTCCTAGGGCCAGTAGGTGGCAGCAGGTCATGCCCAATAGGTTGAAGTTTGGGCTGAGCTGCAGGTACCTGAAGGAATGTAGGTATGAGCATGCAGAAAGCACTTGTCATATAGAAGATGGTATTATCTCTCTGTGTTGCTCTCTCATACCTCCCTCCTCTCCAGCTGGCTGACATACAGGACAGAACCTGAAGGAGAGTACCAGTCAGAATAGCACTCATGAGGAGTTGGAATTGCAAGAGTTGGGAAATAGGACTCTTTAGGACTTTAAAGTAAGGATGTTAGGTATCAGATAAACGACTAATTGAATAGTTGATGCATTTTGCATCAATGATTCGATTAGTTGATAGGGCGCCTCTTCCGTTGAAGTGTAGCAACAGCCTTAAGGCCGTTGCTACACTTCAAAGGTGAAAGCACTGCATGGAGCCCAGGGTCAGCAGGGGACTCCCCACAGATCCTGGGCTCCATGTGGTGCTGCTGCTTTGAAACGCTGCAGCAGTGTTTCAAAGTGGCAGCACCACATGGAGCCCAAGGTCAGCTAGGGTATCCCCAGCCGATCCCGGGCTCCATGCAGCGCTGCTGCTTTGAAACATTGCGTGCTGCCTGGGGGCACCCCAGCCTGGCTGCACAAAGTGTTTCAAAGCAGCTGCGTTGGGTGGAGCCCGGGGTCTGGCCCCAGGCTTCAAGCAGTGATGCCGTTTTGAAGTACCTCTTCTTCTTCCCCCTCCTTGCTGCCTCTATCTGATAGAGGCAGCAAGGGGGGAAGCGACTTGCTGACTATCCTGTTGACTATCCAATAAGCATTTGCTTATCGGATAATCGACTAGTCCTTAACATCCTTATTTTAAAGGGGAGGAGGGACGGGACACAGGACTACTTGTTAGGTTGTTAGTATTCTGCTTTGAACCTCAGAGCATATCTTTGGTTCCAGCTAGCTAATGGCCCACTGAGCCGTGTATCCTTTCTCAGAGCTTGTCTACACTTAAAACACTACCACTGCAGCGCTTCAGTGTAGACACTACCTACACTGATGGGAGGGTTTTTTTTTATTGGTGCAGGTAATCTACCTCCCAGAGAGGCAGTAGCTAAGTCAATGGGAGAATTCTTATCTTGACCTAGTGCTCTCTACACTCAAGGCCGGATTTCTAATTAGTCACAGTAAGTACATGCCTGAGGGACTGGCGTTCTAGGAGCAACTAAAAGTTAAAGGTGGGTTGAAAGTTTCATTTTTTTTAAGGAAAACATGAAGGTCAGCAGAAGGCAGGGATGGGGGAGGGGCATTGAAGATGCTGTGCCGTGGAGTGTGAATAAGGTTAGAGCCATCCCTATGGAGGTACAGGGCCTGGGACCCACCCCAGACCCTGTCCCTGCCCCACCTTGTCCCAGTCCTGCTCCACCCTGGCACGTCCCCACTCCACCTCTTCCCCAAAGCCCTGCTCTTGCCCCACCTCTTCCTACCTCTGCTCTACTCCCGCCTGTGCCCATTGCATCTCTTCCCCAAAGCGATGCAACCTGGGGGATTACCGGGTGGGCCTTTGGCCAGCAGCTAGGATCAGATCCCCCTACACTCACCACTGTGGCAGGAAGCGGAGTGACCTGGCCCCAGCCGGCTGCACTCCCCTGATCTTGGCTCACAGATGTGTTGCTTGGGGCAGCAGAGTGAACCGCGGGTAGAGTGCTCTGCTTCCTGCCACCATGGTGGAGTGACCTAGCCTGGAGATAGCGGAGCAGAGCTGGCTGCTGGGTTGCTCTGCTTCCTGTGGCTCCTGCTGCTGCTGGTGAGTGCGGGGTCGGCCCTGTCCCCTGTTGCTGGCACCAGGCCCCCCAGTGTTCCCTCAGGTTGTCCTGGGTTCCATGGGATCCCTCAAAGTATGAGGTCCAGAGTGGCCATCCCGAACTGTCTTATGGATGAGATAGCTCTGAGTAAGCTATAAATTTGGCCCTCTCTATGGGCAAGGGGGGTTAGGTTGGTACAACTATGTCTCTCAGGGACGTAGAATTTTTATTAGCCCCTAGTGTTATATACTGTTAGAATTATTAGCAAGTTTACACTGTGTTTCTATGTGATTTACAAAGATGATCTAATCAGGCAGAATGTTTTTTTCCCTCTGGTGGCTGGAAGCTATTTGGAATGATATATGTCATTTCTCTTTAATTAGCATAATTGATTTATCTAGATGCTTATGGACCTCACAAACATTAATGAATTTTAGCCGGTAAGATGGTCAAGTTTATCTCCATTTCATAGATGGTGACCCGAGGCACAGAGAGATTGATGTTATATGGAGGTTTTATTGGTGTTTGTTTTTAGGGTTTTACTTAGATTGTGAGCTCATTGGCTCAGAAAATATCTTTTTGTTCTGTGTTCATACAGTGCCTAGCAATGGGGTTCTGGTCTCTGACCACAATATTAATAATAATAGGCTGAGTTCAGGATGAATTCCTTGCTTAGAAGAAAATAAAGTCTTTTTACCCATGAGTTATGTGATTAGCTCATATATGTGCTAATAAGACCATATTATTATGATTGCATATGTGTAATTACACCATATTTTTCAAGAAAACTTTGTTTTAAACAAGTTTAAAGTGATATAAAATGTTAATAGTTCTATATTCCTTTGCTTGTCAAGCCAGACTCCCTTACATACGATGAGACCAGCTATATGGGCTTCAGAAGAAGAGGAAAATTAGAACAAATCAATTTTGACAACGTATTTATATAGATAATATATCTATGTAACAGTGTCTCTAATTTAAAATCTGATATCTTGTGATTTACCATGGTTGTATAAAGCGTTTTATGTTCTTGAAAAGACAGCTTTCCTGGCGTGTTTGCACTATAACTCTTATTTCTATCCCTAGTGGGTCATGAATTATCAGAGCTTTAAATCTCTCACCGCTGTAAGACCGACCACCACTTCCCACAGCTCCCATTGGCTAGAAATGGTAATCCAACCAGGAGCTTCAAGCGGTTCTACCTGCGGATGTTCAGATTTAAAAAGTGTCTGGCAGCCTGCTAGGGCCTAACTCTGGCGAACCAAGTCCAGCCCATGGGTCACTTATTGTTCACCCCTGCTCTAAGCGTATGTGTCATTGAGAGATGCCATGCACACCTCTTGAAGGTACTTATCTGGCCCTCCTCGCCATAGTGTCTGTAACTTTCTCTGGAACTGGTTGTTCATAACATATTACACTAAGC